TGTAACTGAGTTTTGCAGTCCTTTATTTCGGCCGCGTTAAACTCGACTGCCTTGGCTATGCTACAGTAGTTAACATGATAGAATTTTGTTGCAGCTGAGTACCTAATAAATCCACCTTATCCGTTAGCTGCTTTATTGCTTCTAAGACTAAATTCATATCTTCTTTACCTTCTGACCCAGTGTCCTTCCTTTTAACTGTTGGTATGTTCTTTGCCGGCGAGAACGGATCTTTTCTTTTTATATTCTCGATAGAAGCTTCCATCTTTGTAGCATACTCATGGCCGTCCACTGGCACATTACTGCGGGATAAAACAAGGTTCTTCTTCGCAGACATGGTATACCTCCTTCATTTAGTTTTTAATATCGTGATATATATTAGTTCAAAAAGGAGCATATTATAACGATTGGATAACGTAACAAGTGAAAATCTGGGACAGTCCTTCAGAGCTCACAACATGCGGTGCACCCGATCTGCCATCTTGCCCCGGCTCCCCGGTCAGACATAATCTGGGGAAAGAATCGCATGGTCCTGTGTTCCTTTCGTCTCAGTCTTTTCATTCGTTTCACAGGTCAGTACTGTGTTTAAACCACCAGAGGATAAAGTTTTAGACTTTGTTCAACGAATGTGTTTGTTGAAAACCAGATAGTGAAATTTTGAGCAACTTTGAATAAGTTAAAGCCGAGCTGCGAGTAATCTCGCAAATTCGTTTGCGCGCAGCCATTCATTCTGTTTGTAAGTTAGATTTAAACACTTTATCATATCCCGCTCCAATTGATACTTAAAGTTTCCTAATATGTGTTTACATGTCAATAAGCTGTTTTAAACAGAGTAAGTAGGTAATTGACCTGCGTGAAGTTGGCCCCCCATATGTTTCAGATTTCAACCAAAGTGGTCTCAATCGTATGTGCCGCGTTTGTGCCGGATTGTGCCGTTAAAATTTTTGTTTGTGCTGTTTTAGTTTCTGAGATATAAATGTGTGTTTACATTGTGACGTCATCAGCGTGAAGTTGGCCCCCCATTTGCGTCAGATTTCCACCAGACCGATCGCAATCGTGTGTGCTGCGTTTGTGCTGGCTTGTGCCGTTAAAACTATCCTTTGTGCTGCTTTAGTTTCCGAGATATTAATGTTGTTTA